ATTTGCACCATCGGGTTGTGAGTGAGAAAAGCTTAGAAGATCTATAACAGAAAATTTGTCGTGTGAGTTGTGAGTGTCGACTCTGTTCGTTTAAGTTATGACTGGAGGTATGTATGATCCTATCTCGTTTCCGCTAATCGATTTAAAAATTAATTTTGTAAATCGAATATGGTATTTAGAATCTTTTACAGTATACTCCTAATTTTGTTCTTATGAAAAACTCTTGTGAGCTTGTTCAACAACATGAACATTCACAACTAATAGGCTCAATAAAGTGTGTATAAAATCAGGCTTGGCATAACATTTTGCTTTCCTTGAGTTGCTTAATTAGGTATACTAACAATGCTGCCAACATCATTGTCAAACATTAACCAGGATTTCCAAATAAGCCAATTCATTCCTAATTTATTATAGTTTCTATAATGTATTTGAATAATATTATGAAGCTATTGAGCCGCTAAATTATGATGGCTGGGGGTGAAATAAAAATCATAGATTTATTTTGAAATTCACCAATTCAAATGCTCTTTAAAAATTATAAATTGAAGCTATAAAATTTAACTGCCAATCCAAATATAAATATCAGTGCTAGTGAGGAATACAAGTTTAGGCAAAAGAAATATTACGTTACACAAGTGCACATGGCCAAAGATAACATTCATCTCAAGTTGATGTTAAAATATTATATCCAAATTTAAGGAAAAAATCAGAACTTCTTAGGGGGATTTACATGCATAGAACCCAAACTTGTTTATTTAAATAACTAGCACCTAAAACTTTATTTATGTAGCCATGGCGTCCCCTCGCATATATTTCACTGGAAAATTGGTCGGACATGAGACAAGCGAGCAAGCGGCAAATACTATAACATTGTGTTCAAAGAGTTGAAGTTGCGTAGAAGGGCGGTTATTCATTATCAACTGGTGAAAGTATCACCACAATGATAATTGTTAATACGAGACGCGTGAATCAAATGTGAACCACACCAGTCGTAACTCAGGTTGCTTAAACGATGTCGGATCACAAAATGGACAGCCCTAGCACATCCAGCTTTAAGAGACCTTTCATGATCGAAATAACCAAACGGGAGGAAAAATGAAGATTCTCGGTGCATCGCGTGCAATTGGGCCCAAATCACATTAATCACCGCCAAAATCGTCAAGATGATATTCTATCGCAAAATGGAAGCGTTCGAAGTGTTGATTTTATGCAGGGGCGATGCCCATATGGGTAGGCTGTAACTCACAGATATTCAACACACATCGTGACGTATGGACTAAATCTTTTCTTAAAAAATAAATAATAAAAAAATGAGAAGTGTAACTTAAAAAATAAAAATATATAATGAATAAAATAATAAATAATAAGTAAAATAAAACTATGGGATTATATATATATATATAATAAGTTAAATGTTTTATTTTATTTTTTTTTAAATCTTTTCTTCTAACTTTAACTCTTATCTCTGTATTTCCCTGACACCAGCTACCCTAGTCTTAGGGCTGTCAATTTGGCTCATTGTTCGTGAACAGCTCGTGTTCTACTCGTTAAGTAGCTCGGGTTCGGCTCGTTCGTTAAGCCTAACGGGCCCAAACACGAACAAATTTTTAAGCTCGAAATGTAAACGAGCCGAACACGAACAACAGTTTGTTCGCTCGTGTTCGGCTTTAAATAGCTCGAAAAAAAAATTATATAACTTTTTATATAACAATATATTACATATATTATTTATATAATAATATATTATATATATGTATGTATAAGTTTAAATCATAACACCTCATATGCAATGTGGTTAATGTTTTCTTTTGTATATATTTGATCCAGGTTCGAATCCCACACTTTAAATTTATTTTTCTCAATTTTAGTTTAACGAGTCAATTTCGAGCCGAACACGAGCCGAAAACGAACACAAATATTTAAAATGAGTCGAACACGAATACACTGTTCACGAGCCGATTTCGAACATGAGCTATTTGGAACAAGCCGAACACAAGCCGAACCTGAGCTCGCTCAAGCTCGGCTCGTTTACCGCCCTACCTAGCCTTCCTACTCTCTCTCCGACGACAGCGAACCGAGAACAGATATATTATCAGAGCAAGGTAAAAGGTAGGGCACAGGTTTAAGATTATGAAAGATTTAAAGCTGTTCTTTTTACCATATAAAAACAAAATCTTACCCTTTCTTGCTTCAGTTCTTTCCTCAACAAGATCCATGGTCATTCTATATCATGTTTTATAATATGTTGGTCTGCTGGCTGTTAGACAGAGAGATGTTGAAGCGATGTTTTACTCCTTTTTTTTTTTTTTGAGAAAGAAAAAAGGGTTGTTGTTTTTCTTAGCCTAATTTACTTCACGGAGGTATGGAATGCATACTTCTCTGAGATTAAAGTCAAGATTGTACTGTTAGTATGGGGTTTGCTAGGCTCTGAAACTTGCTAAAGGAGTTTAATCAGGTAAAAATATAAGTCTGTCGCCTCTGTAGAGAAATGCACTGGGAGCTTTTATTTAGTGACTCTTCTATTTATAGGAGAAAAAGACGTTGAATGAAGTCCACCTACATCTTAATAATGTGTGTAAATTAGAATTAATTTAAAAGATATCAAAGTGTGTCCAATTACTCATCTTCATCCCTGTTGGATCCACAATCCCAAATATATAAGCGGACAAAAGGTGAAATTAAAAAAGTAAATGAAAATATTTGCTTTCAACTCAGTGGTAATACATTCGTGCAAAAAAAATAAAAATAAATAAATAAAAAAATAAAAAAATAAAAAAGAAAGAAATGCTCGCATGTGCTCTGACATGTCTTTTAATACTCAAACCTATGCATCCGAGATTGCTACACAGGCAACGAGCTGCTTATCCTATAGGGCGAGGTCGTAATTCCTACGAATTGACCAATCCGATTGTCTTTAGAGTCGACAGGATTGAGCCGTCGCTGAGCTAGTCTGATCCACTTCTTTTCAATGGCTTGAGTTGAGAGGGCTAATGCTTTTAATAATGTTTAATCAATCAATCCCCTGGTCGTCATGGCTACAGAGCTAGGTCGTAAGCCTCTCATTTTGGCTAATCTGATCCTCCTCCTTACATTGACCACCAAAGTTGACAAGAATGAGCTTCTGTTGAGCCAGCCTGATCCTCCTCGCGGGGATTAGAGTTGACAATAATAGTGCTCTTAATGATATATAAATTCAAATCATTCCTCGATGAGGTCGTGTTGATAATGAATCTCAATCAGAGTGACCTATTTTCAAAATTATATTTTAAATTCTATTTGAATAAGTTCAAATGATATATAAATATATATATATATAAAGTTATGAAGGCGTGTTTTAAATTTATATTTTCGGATGATGAACAAAAAATGATTTCGCCCGAAAATAGGGGGCAATTGATACGCCACCAACAATTTTTATTAACCGGCACGAATCTCAGTGCAATTTTTTTGAATAAGAGACATTCAAACTTTGATTAAAAGTCATCCGGAGTTTCGATTTCAGCAAAATTATAGTCAAACTGATCAGCTCGATGAGACAGACCTATAAATATTTGAAATTATAAAAAAATAATATTCAAATTAAAATTTACACCTAATGCTTAAAACAAATATCAATCCCCCATCAACAATTGTTTGTTGAGGCAGGCCAAACTCATGCTGATTCAAGCTCACAAATAGCCAATATTATATCAAGTATATCGTTAAATTCATGATCAACAAATTCTATGTCAGTAAACACGTGGCCGAGTCAACTGTGTGCTGAGTGTTCCTCAATAATAGTTTGTTCTTTTGAGTATTAAAACATAGGGTATATTTGACAAGACATAAAACTCTCTGTATGTTAAGGTCGACTTAGATTAGTCTCTTTAAAAAAATATTCATCTCATAACTACTGAAATGACAATGTAGGGCAAAAAGATATTTTAGGAGGGGCAAAACTAATATTTTAGAACGAGCAAAAAACCGAATTGCCTCCCCCCAGGCAATTGCTCCCCTAGACCATACCTTGGTCTGCCTCAGATCGAAAGGTGAAGAGGCATAATGGAGGAGACGATCAAGAGAGACGATGTGCTACATATGAGTATTTTAAAAGTTTAGGGGTGTTTGGCATCACACTTTTAATAGAATTTAACCACGAATTTCACCTAAATCCACAAAAAACACAAAAAAAGAGAAAAGTAAATCCAACTGTCCGTTAAATTCAATTCTCTTTCATTATATCTCTTTCTCGCCCACTCTATCTCACATGCGACATAAATCAGATTTATCGAATCCCACTGAGGAGCTAATTTTGCAGATTTACTCCACCTTGCTCTCATGCTCCATCTCCATTGCGTTTATCGCGAGCTTCCACGGATTTGATAATTGCTACTTAACAATCTACAGCTGCACCAAAACACCACCTCCGGGTGCATGATATTTAAATATGAAGTTTTAAATGCTGATATATAAATAAATAAATATGTAAATCGCCCAATTTTTTTATATGAACCGCCAATTTATAAATTAATAATAATCCAGAAAAAAGATGCTCGGAAATAAGGAAGTGGAACTGTAGGCTGTAGCCTATCGGAATGCACCGAAGACATCAACTCTTTGGTGAGTTCAGTCTACAGTTCTAAGCCACATGGCCATCCTCGCCACGGTAACTAGCCTTCACGCCATTAGATCGGCGGCCAATCTATCAGCAGGTGGCGACGCAGAGTCCTCCCGCCCATCTCCGCCGTCACCGCGCCTTACCCGCGTGATCCTCCCGAAGAAGAAGCCCTTGAAGTGGTCGACTGGCACGGCTCCCAGTGAGTACGGCGGGCCGGCCACGGCGCAGACGACGACGAAGCTCCGAAAATACTGGGGCGGTGGCGACCAGGATCCACTCGCAGCCACTGATGATTTTATCTGGAACAAGGATTTCGTCGGCCACATGAAGCGTTTCCTTGTCGACGAGCCGAACCTTCCCACTACATTTACAACTAGGGTTGTAAATATCTCATCCTATTCTAGTTAATGCTTTCAGTCGCGTTCATTCCTTATCTGGTTCTTCTAAGTTTAAATTGCGCAGGTGGAGCAAAGCTCGGGATTTCTAAGCCTGAATCGAGCAATGAGGTTGGACAGGTTTGTCTCTTTGATGGAAACCTTTTCTTTTGCCTTAGTATTGGTTTTTTAGATTAAAATTTTTTATTGGAATTAATAGTGTGGGAATTGATCTGAGCGAAGAGCTGCGCTCACCGTCCAGGTCCGTTCTGGAGCAGCAGGTGGAAGCAGCCAGGAGCGGTCGCTCTGCTGCTGAAGTAATCGCCATCTTCTCTTTGCTATGATTTTATGAAATTCATGTTTGCATATTCAAAATTGCTTTACCTTTTAGCAAGTACTCTTTTGGTTTAGGTGGATGTACCTTGAAATAAATATTGATTTTAAACTTTATAAACACCTTTAAAATCTTTCAAATGTTCTGATTTTATTTTCATGCACAGATGAGTGAAAAAAAATCATCATTTCTTAAAATATTTTTTCTAACCGGCAACCAAATGAGTCCTAAATGAAAATTGAAGCAATAACCAGAGATTGCAATGTTTTTTGATCGTTTGTCGTAACCATGTGCTTTTAGTTGGTTCAAATATATTTATGATCATATGATTTTTCTTATTTAGAACCCTAGTGATGTTGCATCACCAAGATGGCGATTGGTCCCTAGCAGGCAAAGTGGGATAGAGCAAATAAGGCTGCTACTGGAGGAACTGTAAGTTTCTATTCTTCCTTTTACACTCATGATACTCGAGTTAGATTGTTGATTATGTTTGTAAATATTTTACATTTGGCAAGGAGGGGGAGGGTCATTAAAGTAAACATTTTGGCATGTGTTGATAACTTAATTTGCTGAGAGGAGAAAAATCCATTGTAGAGGCAAAAAATTTGAGATGAAAGACACTAAAAAGAGTATATGAATGGGTGTCTTTCGGTGAGAGTGGCTCGAGCTTAGGGGGAGAAAGAAAGCAACTATCCATATCTTTATCTATAATGAATCATCTTAAATTATAATCAAATGCCTACTATTTTAAATAACAATCATAGTTTTGTATACAATCTAACTATAAAACAGTGGCAAGCATGTCCATGATAACGAATTACTATTTTTCCCTTAAGACTAAGACTAATAAAATCATCAATTATGGCGTTGACCCAAACATAAAAATTAAGACATTATAGACTAGGATGACAAAAACAAAGACTTAAGCTTGATAACTTGAAGAAAATTCTCGCAATCAATCCCCATGAATTGCAAAGAACTCAACTTCAGATAATTAAAATGTTATCAGAAGAGGAATTTGAGGTCATGACTATGATACTAAGCTAAATAATCTATTGTTGACCTTTATATTGTTCCGCTTGACTAAATGATTAATATCAGACGCAATAATGAGCTGCTTATAGCTGAATCACTTTGATCGCCATTAAAGCGTTCAAATATTTTATGTTGGTAAAACGTATGCACGAACGCATCTGTATTGTCAAGACGGTTTGAACGTGGCAATTTGCATCTGAATTAAGCTTTTGTTTGGTGTGCGTCGTGATATTAATCATTCATTTTATTTGAATCTTAGATAAATTTGATATATATATATATATATATTCCTTTCCAAATTAAAATCACAAAATTTAAATTTAAAAGAAAATAACCATGCGGTTTATTTTTGTGGCAAATAAAAAACGGAAGAAAATTTTTCATTATTTCCTTCTCACGACATATATAAGAAAAGAAGTGAATGTTTTTTTTTTACAAATAACCATCTCACATCTCTCCCCTCCTTTCTGGTCCCCTCACCACCCTTTCATGTTCCACTCTCTCTCCACTTTTATATTAAGCCCCTCATATATATATATATATATATGTATCTCATTTGTAATCACTAGTCCCTACTTATTGTCTCTTTCCATTGTCTTACCACACTCTCCACTATCTTTGTCCCTTAGGAGTTTTGCAAAAAAAGCCAAAAGACTCTCTCTTCTCATTTGGACGCTTTTTGAAGAGTTTTTGGAGGCACCTATTGAAGAACCAACTCTAGGTTTTATTTGGGGCCAAAATTGATCAGAAAAGTGACTCTTCCTGACATCTCATCGTCCCAATTCAACCTTCCACGCATCACACATTCTTCCATTTTTCATTCCACAATCATTTGGAGTTCATTGTTCTTATAATTTAAAGTTTTGTGGTGAGATTAAGTGTGAACTCTTCTCTAAGAGTGTTGGAGAAAAAAAGTGAGAGATTTATTCTTTCTACATTTTCTAGAAGAGGCTACAAGGGATTTACCTTGAGAAAAAATTTCAAATAAGTGTTGTTTGTTTATTAGTGTTGTATGAACTTTCTTTTATATATGAAATTTGTGTTTTGTTGTAACTTTCTCATGAAATCTGAGTAATTTACTTTATCTTGTTCTCTACTCTGAGATATGGTGAAATGAAGAGATAATATGAATATGCCAATATTAAAATATAAAATAAATTGTGATGATTTTTCAACTCCGAACTTAATTTACTTTTTGATTTGACCAATTGAATTGTTAAAATATATTGTGAAACATATGATTCGGGAAATAAAGTATGAGTTCTACAACAGAGTGAAGATCACATTTGATTCCATAAAAGAGAATTTCGTTCATGGAATTAAGTGCAAATAAATAAAGAAATATACTTTGTTGTGTAGAATTGAAGAATCTTTAGGATGACAGACTAAAATCCCCAATTCGGTCTTATTGTTTAAAAACTAAAGCGAGAGTTAGCCTTGAGGTGAAGCGAAGTAGGAGCTCTAAAGTGGGAGCTAGTATCCTCCTAGCCTAGTCACAGATTTAGGGACTAAACTTGGGATTAACCAATGATTTTCTATAACACTGTATCAGAGTAGAGAATTAAAACTGTTCCTATTTGACACAATACATATTAAAACCATTTATCTCATTTCATTTTACCAAAATCTCATTATAGTCAGAAATGTTTTTTCACATAAGAAATCTTCATCACATAAACATAGTTTAATAGTTACTATTTAAACTTTGTATATATATTTCAGTTTTGTTATTAGTTAAATAATTTTGTTCTGATAATATCTCAACATTCGAAATTAGTGACAGTAATTTTGTTTTGACTTTCTGTGAATTTTCTAGTAAATTTATCATTTCAAATTTAAACCCTCCCCGTGTGATCGATATTTGAGGCTTAAATAGAAAATAATTTATTACTTGATAACGATATGTATACTTGCGTAGAATCCCAACATTAATTGCTTAATTTTTTTATTAATGAAATATTGCAATTAGCTTTTGACACCGTTGCATAGTGGAGTCAACTATATAATTTTTACACAACTATATTTCTCGGGATTAAGTGGTCAAAGTCGTTTTCATTATAAGAGCTTAAGATTTTTGGAGAGGGCCAACAAGCTATTGTATATCAACATCTTTTTCAATTATCTAATGGATGAGGCTTAACACCTCATGCATTAGAAATTTTATTAGGAATTTTTTGAAGGGTATATGGAGTGAGAGACAAAAGCGATTAAGGAGCGAGGCAATAGTGTTGTAATGTTTTCTTGAAATCATAAATCTAAAAACAACATAATTTATTAATAGAGTATTTCTTGCATTCAGGGATTTTGACTCTTATAACAATTGATAGGGTGGGGCAAAGAACTTTGATTTGTTGTAAAGAGGATAGAAGAATATATTAAATTTATTGTAGAAGAAGAGTAAGATAGGTAAAAAGAAAGAATAAACTAAATGATGTAGAATAATGTAAGGTTATTTATATAAATAAAGATCTTATTTTATGGAGGAAAATCAAGCAATGCAATACAATATGATGAAAAAATGAAGAAGAAATTATAAAAATCAAGTGAAGACTTAAACACATTTAAACTCTCAAGTAAATGAAGCTAAATTTCCACTTATAAGAGCCAATGCAAGAGCCCAAAAAAAGTATCCAATTAAGAGCCCATTTAAGACCCATCACAAAAGCCAGTTCGCGAAGAAATATTTGAATATGTATTTTGTATTTATATTTCTATTTCAGTTTCTAGAAAGCTTGAATTTTCAAATTTGGAGTCTTTTATGGTTGGTTATAAATAAATAATAGATTAAGAAGATGATTAACATTTTTATCCGTTAAGGACCACCTATTATTCCTTTTGAATTTCATCTTTTTGTCGACTTTTTGTTATCATTGTAATCCCTGTAAATAGGGTTGATATGTAATGAATTTTGATTAGTTGTCAAATAAAATATTTCTCTTGTTGCTTCGTGCTTGGTGACTTCAAATGTTGTCTTTTTTTTATGAGATTAAATATTTATCTTTCTTTTCTTAAGTTATTCTTTATATCTCCATAACTATTACTCTAAAATCTTAACCACCCCTCATCCATATCTTAAGCATCTTTTAATATCAATAATCAACAAGCAAAACCTCACATCCATTCCAAACTTCTCTTCATAGATATTGGTCAAGTTATAACATATTAAGGCCTTGTCTTGTTCTTTAACCCTTAACACCATTATAAACATATTCAAAACAAACAATATACTCCAGGTCATAGGCACACATCCTAAACTAATTCCTAATATCATTTACCCAATCTTAAGTTACTTTCCCAAAAGAGATCTTTTAAATCAACACAAACTAGCCTAATTTTGACTAGTGTTGGTATTTTAGCCATCATTATCTTCTAAATATGTTGACCCACCAAAATATCCACATTACATTATTAGATCTAAACCAAACATTCATAACAATTTTTAGTCCTTTATTTCATCAAAAGGTCACCCATCCCATTATATTTGGTATCAAAACAAATTTGAGAAGGAGAAATTTAACAATAAGATATTTTAGGGGAGATTTCCCCCAATGGTGTGCATAATGACTCAACCATTAAATTGCGATTATAATAAATTTTGTCTCCCTTAATAAATTAGATATTAGCTCTTAATGAGGATTCATCTGCATACATGTGAGGACGAGTTCAGTGATTCAGTTTCTTAGTGAAGAACGTTGGTGAATTTTTCAAACTTATTCTTTTACCAATATCAACTACATAACTTTCTTGATTATAATTAATTTTACAGCTCTTCATAAATCAGACATAAAGTTTTAGTGAGAATTCATTTGCATGCATGTAAAAATGAGTTTGGTGATTCATTTTTCTTAGTGAAAAACTTTAATGAGTTTCTTAAACTTGCATTTTATATATTTTATTTTTTCTTTTACCAATTATCCACTACATAGCCTCTCAATATTTAAAAGTATCTTAAATTTTTTTTTTCAAGTTAGTTATTCAATTTGTGCTAATCTTTGGTTTGATGACCTAGTTTATTACTATAAATCATTACTTAAATTAAAATTTTTATTTTAATTTGAAAATAGAAATACTTATCTAAATTAGTTTTGCATATTTATTTGATTTAAAATTTTTATTTAATTTATTTTTAGTTCTTATATTGCAGACATATTTTTTCTTTTTTTTATCTATTTAATTTTACGGAGTAGAATTATTTGAAAAAGGGTGAATTGATGTATAACAATGTAAGATTCATTATATAAATGATCGTATTTTGTGGAAGGAGAATTAAACAGTGCAATGAGATATTGTCAAAAAAAGAAAAATAAATTATAAGATTTAGGTGAAGTCAAAAATACATTCAAATTTCAAGTAAATGAAACCAAATATTCACTTATAGAAGCCTAAGAAATTACTCA